AAAGAGTGTGTTTATGAAGCTTCCACCAAATGGGGGTCTTCACCTTCAAGTTGCATAGACCAGGAGCTGTAAAATACCAAGAAGGATCGCTATATCGACTTCATTTAGATTTAGAATGGAAATCTTGACCTCATCATTATATATATGTCTTATGGTAAATGAATAATTTTCTTTACTAGCTTCTTTTACAAATTAAGATATATATCTTCATAATGAGCAATACCTAATAGATATAAAGAAAGATAATAAATGTGTCAAGTTATTGAATGATGATGATTTACTCTTCCAAAATCATAATATAATCCTTATTCTATTTAGTTGTTAGTATTTTTTAGAGTAAAATTTTATTTATTTATAAATTTATAATAATATTATAATTATTACATTTTCAATTATATCTTTCTTTTTTGAATATTTTACGTACTTATCATAAATAATAAATAAATAAAATTATCTTATAAAGTATAAAAATATTAATGATTTTTTTAGTATAGATAATATTTTTTTAAAATATTAAAATTTAATAAAATAAAATAAAAATAATAAAGTAAAAGATATAAAAAATCATAAAAATGTTCGTGTTTTTAGATACTTAAATACTCTTTGCATAAATTTTTAAATATTAAATGGGAGCTTAATTGGTTAAATAAGATGACTGAGTTGGTGTGAACTTCTTTAATATTGATTTAGATTCTCACATATAAAATAAAATATATTTTTAAAACATTTTCTCTTATTAATCAAAATTTATTAAAAAAAGAGATTTACTGAATATTATTATTTTTTTTGGCAGACACATTTAAGACAGAAGCCACATTGATTTCAGTGCCAAACCAACAAAAAAGGAAAAGGCAGAGTGCATGGGAGTCAATGATCCACACGTGATGTAGTGGTCCCTTCTTTCAACGGATGATTCATACAGCAGCCAACGGGGATGAGCCACGTGGCACAATGCAGTGAGGACAATCGAAAAGTCAAAATGCACGAGGAATAGGATTAATTTCATATACAAACACAACATGAATTTATGAAGATAGGGTTCCCTAGGTCGCCAACCTCTGCATATTAAAAATTAATATTATTTCATGGAACACCGTTTCTCTTCCCCCTCACCAATTTCCATAAATCAATCCCTATCGTCCTTCAATTCTCCTTTCGTTTTCCACTTTTCTTTTGCTATATCCATCTTCCTCCATTCTCATTATCATTAACTACATTTAAATGATCAATAGTTCAATTTTATGCACACACAGAACAGTACATTTATATGCAATTGACAAAAACCCAATTCAATTAATGATCAGAAGCATAAAGTTCAATTAAGCAAGGTGATCAACCAAAGAAGCTATTGATCGAACAACACGTGTGTGAGTGTGATAGGATGTCAATTGACACACCACACGTACATTTAATTTTATCAACCTAGTTATTTAATATATGATATGACCATAGAGACTATATATACAAAATATATATAGGAGTATATCACATATACATTGGTGTTAAGTTTGCTTGTGCTAAAAGCATGGCAAGCTACACATATAATCTCGCCAGGATACTGGGAATTTTTTTTTTTTGGCTTTATATAGTATGTTGTTCTCGACTCTCCTCAAATTGTGAAACACTTATGCTATTATTGTATAATAATATATAATATATCACTTTATTTTTATAGTTAGGTATTTATTAGCAAACACTAGGTTACAAAATAAAGCAAGATATGATTTCTTGCATATATATCAGTTGATTAAGGTCTCCCCGTCCTGTGCTGCATAATTTATGGTTTAAAATTGTGTTTGTCTTCTCTTTGTGTGGAATTTTGGTGATTGAAGAAGGAATGAGGAATTATGTAGAGCAATTGATCTCGAGGGTAACGCCATGCATGCATGCTGTTGGCATTTGTCCTTATTTAACCGTGAAATGTGCTCCAACTTAACCTATACTCATTACAAAGCAAGAAAATAAGGAATACCCAAATTGCACCATATCCTTATAAATTATAATTTAGCATCTGTGTGTTATTTTGGGTTAGCATGTCACGGTATTCGATTCTTTACTTTAGAAATCAAAACCAATATTCTCTAAGATCAATGATGTGTCAGTTCTGAATGTGTGTTTAATAAGGAAAAACCCCATAGATTGTAATTATAAGAGATGCAGTTAAAAATGCGACAAAACTTGATCCATACGACTTAATTGGTTCACATGCATTCATATTAGTTTGAGTTTTATTATTTGAACAATGAATTTTGAAAATCGTGCTGTATTAATTTGATATTGTATGTGTTTATCGTATATATTTTATTAAATTGGTGTTGGTTCTCCGTTCTCCTTAAAACGAAAACTCATCATATGTAAACATGACTAGATGTTAAACAGATACGTGCCTTGACCGTTTTATCGTTCTTAATGATTTTTATTTCCCCGGTTTCTTTCTGGATCTCCTTAAGGTAGATGTGATTAATTTGACAAATTAGAGGAAGTTAACCAATCGGAAATCGTAGTGTATGATCTGAGATAGACTTGTACGTAAAATATATAAATGTCATACAATACAATGACTACCTTGGTCTTGGTAGGTTTTTTACTGTGGAATACTGATCAAAGAGCCAAGTAAATTCTCCATGTTGCTTTTGAAAGTGACATTATATATTTATATTCACGGTAAGTTGAATCTTCTTTGCTTGTATTGTCTCCATCAGCAGGTAAATAGTGGCAACGGCTTTCTAAAATTTTATAAATAAATTATTAAAATATCTCCAATTATTTCTCATATTATATATATATATAATTAACCACTTGCTCTTTGATTGAAAATAGGATTCTACACTGTATATACGTATGCTGTGTATTATTCTTATTCTGATTAGCTAAGAAATTTATATTAATTGTATTACTCCGTAAATTTCATTAGATTCGTTTTTCTATCTTTTTTAATTGACAAATCTCATTAATGTAAATGTTCTTTGTGACATCACGCATGAAACAAGACTCTGGTTTCAATTCGATCGTGGGAATCATCAAATGATGATCTAGCGAATTCCTTGAGAAATTATTTTATTTTTAGATGGCCGTTCTTAGAACCCAGATGAATATAAATGATGATCTAAAGAAATCTAGTGGCAGGTGCAGTCCAAATTGAAAAAAAAAAAAAAAAAATG